TCTCTACTGTGATGCAGGAATGATTACTTCTACTTAGCATCAGAGCAAAAAGGTGCCCCAGCTGAGGCACGGTGCCATCCTGCTGGTGCTTGAACCTAAGCTGTGTAAGATAGGTGGTTGTAGATGCAGCGATGAAAAGAGACAAGGCAGAAGACGGGCAAGAGGGAAAAGAGAGGCACAAAGGGACAGTGAATTCCTTGAAGAACTGCAGTAATTCAGTTGCATGAAGAGAATCTACAGCTGCGAAGTCCTACTCCTGTTCTGCATCCTCTGCTTGTAGGACCCATCAATAATTTGACCATTATGGGTTTCTCTTTTATTGAATTTCTCCCGATTCCAGGAAGGCTCTGGGGTTGTGCTGACTCTTGCTGAAACCAAAAGTATCAGATTCTCAGAAAGAGACTAGTCTTCCGAGGTTTTCAGACCCGAACTATTTAGAAAAGGATTTTTTTATCTGTTTATCTGAACTCAGAATGAACTGCTGAAACATTTGAGGTTTGTCCCTAATAAAAACATGGTTTTGAATCGCTGAAATTATTCCGCAGCATAAATATGGCCTTCAAAGTGAGCAGAGGTGGTTGTGCTTTCCTGGGACATGTTTTGCCTGGAGTCAAGGCTAGCTGTTACTTTAAACTCATATTCAAAGATGCTGAAATCTTACAAATTGATCCCATACGGTTTCTGCCCTTGTCTTGAATGGTGGGAAAGTTATTTTTGCAGCCAAAGTACAAGGATTCATTTGAACCTGAAATCTATAAAATTTGTACTCAGATCTGAAGCTTTTTTTGAACGTTGCTTGGGACCTGGCAGTGTGACTTGTGGGTTGAACCACTCTCTGTGCTCGTTTTTGCTGTCTCCAGCGTGGCAGCTCCCATTCCAGTCTCCAGGTCTGGCGCTGTGGACCCTTGTACCAGTGGTACAGCATTGCCCACCATCTCCCACATTGCACCCATGGCAGGGATTCCTGGGGTTTCATGGCCTCGTACAATCCCACCTCATTGCCGTTTGGCCTGTCCTGTCGGTGAAAACTTCAGTCAATGTGAAGGTCAATCACCACAGCACCAAAAGATGTGGAGATATCCAAAGCTGACAAGGAGTCATGCTCTCACTGTTGTTTGAAAAAGGAAGTTTTCAACTGATGCAGTTTGGTGGGCAAGTAGTTGCCCCTGTCAGAATTGTTAAGGTTTACAAAGTATTTGACAAAAAACAAAAAACATCATTTTAGAGCTACTCTGTTTGAAGTGCATCATTTCGATGCCAACCTTTGTTTGTTAACCATTCTTTGCTAGAAAGAAAGTTGTGTTTCGTGACACAACCACATCTCAAGCAAAAAGCCTGAAATTTCCTTTTCTGAGAAGGTCAAAACAAGACATTGCAGCAATTTTAAAGCTTTGTTGCAACTTCATTTTCTTCCAGCCAGGAAGTTTGACAAAAATAATCCTTGCCATGAAAAGTTTTGTTTTCAGCAAATCAACGTTTTGTTTTTCGCAGAGAAAAACACTCCTGGAAAAATGCCTGCTCTGGGGTTGGCTTCAATTTGAATAAAACAACAGTGTCTCCTAGTGGCTGACTCCAGGGGAATGGCCAAATCCATCTTGGCTTTCAAATGTCTCTTCCTTGACCCTCCTCTAGATCTTTGCTCATCAGGGAGTGAGAGAAGTGGGAAATGAATTGTGCTTTAAGCAGCAAACCGTTTCATAAGCCATAAAAATATCTACGGCAGGCTGTTTTCCAGGGTCCAGTTGGTGTTGAACGAAGGTAATTACATTTGAAGGCTGTATCACTGGATGCTTGGCTCATCTGCTGGTCAGCTTCCACTCTAATAATACAAAAGCTCAGATCAGCAGCTTAGCCAGCATGCAGGGCTATCCATCCTTGTCTTTGTCCAGTGGGTCCTGCCTCCATGTCACTGCAGGATTGCTCTCCAAACATCTCACGTCACAGCTGTCCTTGTCATTGGATTAGTTCTGCCTCACCCCAAAGACCATCGCCAAAGGATGATGAAGATCTCTTGTCTGAAGCACGATTGGCTTTGCATTGTCAGCCTGCTGTCCGTCAACCTTGCCCAGGTGTCATGTCCCCTCCCGTCGACTTGATCTGCTGGATCAGCTCTTCATCACAGCTATTGATGATCTCATCTGGGCCACCTCCTTGTTGTCTTTCCCTCTTCCTCATCCTCTCTCTCCCCTCCCCTGAGAAATCACTGCGGCTTTTCTCCTGCACTCTCTGAGCTCGTATATGAAGCAAAAGTCACAGCGCTGGAGAGTTGGCAGTAAAGGCACCAAATTGTCCAAGCAAATTGGCAAATCAATTCAAGAAATGATATCAGCAGATTAACTGGCTGCAATTCCATGTGTTC